CGCAAATCAGCGAGGCACGACAAGACAGCGTGGATGAACGACCAAATTGCTGCTGGGCATTGGGCCTCCCTGAGGCGAGCCTGCCGGCCTCGCGCCCGGAAGCAAGGCAGGTTGAAGGATCTGGAGGGCAACCTTGTGGACAGCAGCTGCCGGGCAGATGCCATGGCGGAGTATCTTGAAAAAGTTCAATGGCATGTTCGCCCTGCAGATGTTGCGCCTTTGGAGCCGTTCGGCCCCTCTCTGCCGGCATCGGAGGCAGACTTCGCGCAGCGACAGGTCGAGGCAGCAGTGCGTATATCAAGCGTGGCAAAGCGGCCGGCCCCGACGACATCCCAGCAGAGCACTGGAAGACACTTGCAGACACGCCTGGGGGGCTAGAGTGGATCACAGACCTGATGAACAAGTGTTGGAGGGAGAAGACGGTACCAAGCGATTGGCAGCATGCAGTTATCAGCACGATCTACAAGAACAAGGGGCCCATCGACGAATGCGACAATTACAGACCGATTAGCCTTTTGAGCACTAGCTACAAGCTCCTGGCAAGCCTACTACTCAAAAGGTCGCAAGAGGCGGGGGCGGAGGACAGACTAACAAAGACGCAGTTTGGATTTCGCCGAGGGCGGGGGACTTCGGACGCAATACACGCAGCGCGAAGACACGTCGATTTAGCACACGCAGAAAAGGAAGGTAAAACAGCAATGGTGGCACTCGATTGGAAGAAGGCTTTTGATTCAATACATGTTGGTGCCATGCTGAATGCTCTTCGCGCCTTCGGTGTCCCAGAGTCCATGCTGCACATGATCGGTAAGATCTACGAGAACAGGCACTTTTGCGTAGCGGACGGGCGAATCGCGTCCCAAGCGCGACCGGAAGAATTTGGAATCTCACGAGGTTGCCCGTTGTCTCCTTTCCTGTTCGTTATGGTGATGTCTGTGGTCATCCGAGAAGCCAGGAACAAGTTGCCCGCAGACGCGCGCGAGGCCTTGGACGAAGGGCAAATTTCAATACTGCTGTATGCTGACGACACGCTGCTGGTGGGCACATCCCAACACTATCTGCAATTGCTTCTGGAGGTTGTGGCGGCCGCCGGAAAAATGTTCGGGATGGATTAGCATTGGGGCAAATTCCAGCTGATGCGCGTGAAGTGTGACGTTCAATTGGTCGCCCCTGGAGGCGCCGCAATCGTAGCGAAAGAGTACATGAAGTATCTGGGGGCCACGCTGTGCAGCACAGGCAAGCTTGGAGGAGAACTTACCGAAAGACTGGGAATGGCATGGGGCGTATGTTCTGATTTTGAACGCACTTGGAAGCATTCATCGATTACCACAGCCAGGAAGTTGGAAGCATTTCAATCGGTCGTTACCACAAAGATTATGTACTCCTTGAACACAGCTTGGTTAAACAAGGCGGAGAGAAGAAGACTCGATGGATTTCAAGCTCGCCGCCTGCGTCGTATTCTACACATACCACATGCATATGTCTCGAGGGTGTCGAACAAGACGGTGCTCGAGCAGGCCGGACAACTCAGCTACACATCTCAGCTCTTGCGACACCAGCTGCTCTGGTTCGGGAAGGTTGGCAGAGCGGACGACGGTGATGCGCTTCGCGCGCTGACTTTCGAGACTGGCAGCCTGCGACCCGCGACCCGGAGGGTGCGGAGAGCACGGGGGCGACCCAGGCACAAGTGGGCGAACTGTTTGTACGAGAAAATTGCCCCGCGCTTCGCTTCTGAAACCGCCATGCAGAATTGCATTGGCGACGAGCGCAGCTGGCGCCATTTTGCTGCGAATTTCGCGACCGATGCTCAATTTTAATTCGTTCCTGCAAGCAGCAACCAAAGCCTGCTGCCATATTCCGCCTACGCGCCGGACGGCGTTTGGCTCCTCTGTCTGTCTGTCTGTCTTTGGCTTCCAGGAGCTCTGAAGCGCCTGGGGGGCCTTCTGCAGAGGCGTCCAGGGGGTCCCCGGGGCCACGGATCCAGGGGGTCCGGAGGGTCCCGGGGGCTTGGGATTCGAAGGATCCGATTTCGGGAGGAGGGCGGGGGTCCCAGATAATAGAAACAAATACATTTGAATCTATCCACGTCCCAATCGTCGAGAGTCAACGTCCCGAGTTGTTCCCCGCCTCCCGCGCACCGTGGAGCGGAGCGACACGCTATCCGCTTGCAGGGCATGGCGCGTCGCTGGGGCCGCCCACACGACACGCTAAGCAAAAGTTCCCGAGCGTGGGTTGCGTTCGGTTCTTCCCTGATTGCTGCCTTTCGTCGCGGCCGCTTGCTTCAAGCCGGTTTTTGTTCCAGGACCTGCCTATTCGGAGGCAGGCCGATCCATGCTCCATGCTCCTCCCGATTACTTGTCCTCCTCCCGCTCTCTTCTTCTCAGGCATTTTTCCCGCTCCCCCCTCATCTTTTGTATTATCCTCCCCCTTCGGTTTCCTCTCTTCCTCTTGCTCCTATCATGCCTCCTGCTCCTGGTGCTCCTCCCTCCTCCTTTATCATCCTCCTCTCCCTCCCCGAGGACTCCCTTGAGGCCTGTGGAGAGTGATGCAAGCATCCCGAGAAGCTCCGAAAGCGTCAACCCACGAGGTTGGAGGAAAAAAAGGAGGAATAGGAGAAGGCTGTAGACCCAGAATCCCAGACGTCTTGATATCGACCCCCTGCCCCGACCCAGCGGTTCATCCAGCGTCGTCTCTCGACGGTCCCAGGGCTTGGCAAGGCCCCAAAGGCCAGGAAAAACTGGAAATTGGCCGCCGTGTCGTTTCCCTGGCGCGGTGGGGTCTGGGAAGGAGGGGGGGGGGAGGAGGAGGACCAGTGCAAGCCCAAGACGCATTGATGATGTTGCAATGAGCCCTCCAAGTTCCCTCACCACAGGTCCCTGACAAAAAATGTATTTATTGCGGGAAGTGCCCCACTGAGAGACAATCACGTGAGAATCCTCAAATGTACCAAAACATAATTCATGGGACTTCAACGCCGCGAATCAACGTGATTGTTGCGCCAGGACCTTAGATCGCACCAACACGCCATGTCCTGGGTTTTCAACACCACAAATCAACCCGACTGTTGCGTCAGACTCTCCGAAATCGTGCCATAACACCGTGCCTGGGACTTATAAGACGACTGCGCGCGGCGCTAAAGCGAGAGCTATATTTTGAAAGGAGCCGCTCTTCATGGTTGAAACTGCTACGGACCTTTAATGCGAATGTACGCGGCGCTGAGGCGGGAGGGACATGTTGACGCCCACCCGTCCTCCATCGCTGAAGCTGCTGCAACAAATCAAAATTAATTCACGCAGCGCTAAGGCGAGAGCTGTATTGCGAAGGCCTTACGGCCGGTGCCGCCGATTTTGAAGGGGGACGTCGACGACGACGGCGGCGGCGGCGGCGGCGACGACGACGCTGACGTCGGCCCAACTCCTTAGGGATGCTTCTTGCGGTCTCTTGGGAAGGATCTCTTGGGGGCCTCTGGGCAGGAACTTTGAGGTCTCTTGGGAGCCTCGTGGGGGCCTCTTGGTGGTCTTTCTGGGTGTCCTGTGGGCCTGTTGTGGGCTCCTTGGGGCCTCTTGGGAACCTCTTGGGAACCTCTTGGGGCCTCCTGGGAGCTTCTCGGGGCCGAGGACTCGAAATGTCCGTTCGGGTTTTCCGTCAAGGAACGCTCTTGGAGCCGTCTTGGGGGCCTCTTGGGCCGTGTTGGAGGCGTTTTGGGCTGCCTTGAGGTTCTCTTGGGATGTTTTGGAGCGCTCTTGGAAGCCTCGTGGACCGTCTCTTCGGCCAGCTTGGAGTGGCGTGGAGCGGAAAAGGCAAGAACGCCCTCTGTCAAAAACCTAAGGGAAATCAGTGATTCGTGCCTCTTGGGGCCCTCTCGGGAGTGCCTTTGGAGGCCTCGTGGGGCGTCTTGGAGGTCTCCTGGGCAGTCTAAGAGCGTGAAAGCGCTTTGGACCGATCGTTTGGCGATGTGGGGTCATCTTGGACCGTCTCGGGGGCCTCTTAAGGCACTCTTGGCTTGTTTGGGTACCTGTTGCAGTCGTGGGACCCCCAGGGTGGGATGGGTATCTGGGGACCCCCCCCGACGGCGGAGGGATCAAAGGAGAGGAGCTTCCCCTCGGTTCGATTACGACATTGCGAGGTGTTCCTCTCGCTGACTGACAGGCTCGAGGACGGTACAGGGAAAGGGGATGACGCAGACGACGACTGACGGAGACGACGACTCGAACTGACAACCCCTCGCACACACCGACAGGGTCGGCGGATTTCGGAAACGGCCCGCACTCCATCCTGAAACCGTTGAAATTCTCAAGCTTCGGGGTCATACGTTATGAGGAAGTCTCAGGCGAAACGCCCGTCCTGCCCTGCCGACACGTCTGGGGATGCGACAGGAAGGAGTTATTCATAAGGAGAACGGAAGGAGGAGGAGGAGGAGGAGGAGGAGGAGAAGGAGGGGGGAGAGACCTCAGGGTCGGCTGTGCATGTCAGAGTGAGGGGGCTGAACGGTCATTCATGGTCCCTGGGTGCGTGGTTGAAGTGGGGATCCGCGGTCCAGATCCTTGTGGTTGTTGGTTATGTGTTTGTTTGTTTGTTTGTTTATTTATTTGTTTGTTTGTTTGTTTGTTTGTTTGTTTGTTTGTTGTCGTCGTCCTCGTCCGCGACCCACCCGCAACCCACCCGCCCGCCCCCTTCCCTCACTCTTATCCGCAATTGCGGGGTGCTAGGCATGGTTGGGCTCTTCACTCGCCTGCGCCCGAGGGGGAGACCTCATCTTCATTCCGCCGTCTTCAGGCCCCGAGGCAGAGGAGGAAGGAAGAGGAGGAGGAGGAGGAGGAGGAGGAGGAGGAGGAGGAGGAGGAGGGAGGAGGGAGGAGGACGAGACGACGGTAGAGAAGATGGAGAAGAAGATTAAGGAAGAGGAGGAGGAGGAGGAGGAGGAGGTGGCAACGTCAAGGAACAGAAACCGAGGAGGAAGGGGAGGAGAGATCTCCTTCCCGCTCCCCCCTCGGTCCTCGAGCATGGAGCACCTCCTGGCCAACTCCCCGGCGTCCGCCGGCGCGGTGCCGCAGTTGAACGCGGCGCAGCAGGAGCGGGTGCGCGGCGCGGTCGTGGCGCTGCTGCGCGGGACCGGCGACGGCGCCCCGAACAGCGGGACTGTGAGGCCCACCTCATCCTTCGAGGGACGAGGAGGAGGATAAGGAGCGAAGACGAGCGAAGACGAGCGAAGACGAGGAGTAGGAGGAGCGAAGGGCACGAAGAGGAGCGAAGAGTAGGAGGAGCGAAGAGGAGGCCAAGCCAAGGGCACGAGGCGTCCGCGAGCGCCCGCGGGGCGTGGGCAGCAGGCGCAGCCTCGGCGGACACACCCAGCGCACGGGCCGCCCACGAGCGCCCACGGGCGGCTTCCTCCTCCTCCTCCTCCTCCTCTTCCTCCTCCTCTTCCTCCTCCTTCTCCTCCTCCTCCTGCTCCTCCTCCTCCTCCTCCTCCTCCAGGATTCGGGGAAAATCCTCAGTGGCCCGTCGGCTTCCTGTAAGTGGGCCAAGCAAGGACCCCTGAGGGCAAGCACTTTGGGGGGGATGCAGGTACGGTAGGTTTGCGTCGTGTCGACCAGCGGCGACCCCAGCGCGGGCGTTCAAGGTTGAACGCCGCCGGCGACCCAGAATCGATCGATGTTGAACGATCGGACGTTGCGGCAGCGGCCGATCGTTCAAGGTTGAACGATCCCTGCGGTGTCAAAAACCAACGCTGGGGTCGGCACGACACGAACCTGCCGTAAGTGGGCCAAGCAAGGACCCCTGAGGGCAAGCACTTTGGGGGGGATGTAGGCAGATCGATGGAGATAGATGGAGAGACCGTGAGAACGATATACCTACACACACCTGTACATTATGTGCATGTGGTGCATGTACACACTTGTATATTCATATTCAGATATGTGTATATATGGTACGCGTATATGTATTCACGGACTTATCTTCAGAGGCATACACACCTACACGTTACATCGCGACCTATGCGCAATTATAGAGAGGTGCGCCGATACACATGTTGTAGCAAGTCCGGACCCCAAAACATTAAGTTTTTGAACCGTTGATGCGAAACATGCGGCGTCAACTAAGTGATGTAGGTTATGTCCTGTAAGTAATGTGGTATGAGCTTATCCGTCCGCCTTACTTATGAAGCTAAGTTAGTCTCGCTTTGCGCGGGCCCGTGAACACCTGCTGCCTCTCATTTGAAGGTTACAGGTCGTCCACGAATCCTTCATTGTGAGGTTGCAGGTTTCGCTGGAAACCGTTTTTGCACCTCTCTCTCTATTTCCTTCTCTCTCTCTCTCTCGTTCTCTCTCTCTCTCTCACTGTTTCCCATGTCGTGCCGTCCTCTCTCTCTCTTTCCGTCTCTCTTTCGTTCTCTGTTTTTCTATCGTCACATCGGTGTCATCATCTCTCTCTCTCTCTCTCTCTTCTCGCTCCCACTGTTCTTCTCGATTCCTCCACCTTTCCCCGTCGCTCTCTCTCTCTCTCTCTCTCGCTTGTAAGGACGAAGGGACAACAAGACGGTTGAGGATGAGATTGAGCACGAGTGGTCAGGCAGAGGGTTGAAGAGAAGGGGTCAGGAGAAAGGTTGAGGAGGGGTTCTGAGGAGGAGGAGGAGGAGGGTTGAGGAGGAAGGTCGAAAGAATCACAAGGGGGTGGGGATGCCGGAGCGAGTTGGCGGCGTGGTACGGGGTCGCAAGTGTCAGAGGTCGGGGGGGGGGGGGGGGCTGAAGCGAGGTGGAGGCGTGGTGAGGGCGCGGGGTCGGCTTCGGGTCAGAAATTATCCAGTGGGTCACAGAAATCAGAGGTCCAGGGGGTGGGGGTGCACCCTTCCCTCGTCGTAGCAAAAATGACCGACCGACGACGACGACGACGACGACGACGACGACGACAACGACGACGACAACGACGACGCCAACGCCGCCAACGCCGCCGCCGACGACGACGACGACATCACGATGATGGTGACACGCCCAAAGCGGTGCTGAATGACAAGAAACAAACTTAGCCAGAACGGCTACGGGCGAAAGGTGATGTTGGAGTGTGAAGTATTGTGATCATTGGGGTGAACTTGTAGATTGGACTTGGGTGCATTCGGGCGGCGGTGACATCCATGGCCAAGCCTCAGTTGGAGTTCCACAGCAGGGCGCAAGCTAAACATTGTTTTCCTACATTTTCCAATGTGGTTCCGTTTTACTTGTCGTTTTATGTTGTGAACGCGTTTCAAAACACGTTTCCGCATGCTCTGAACGCCGGCAGTCGCGCCCATGCGTTTTGGCGACTGGGCTGCCGTTCTGGCACAGGCAGGTGCCGCACGTTCTGTTGGGCGTTCTGTTTTCACGCGGGCAGGTGCCGCTTGTTTTGTTCGCGTTTTGTCGTCCTGCCAGCACAACCCCCTAGTACACCCTAGCAGAACTCCCCAGCACAACCCCCCAGCACAACCCCAAGCACAATCCCCAGCACAACCCCCCAGCACAACCCCCTGGCACAACCTCGCAGCACAACCAGCACAACGCCCCAGCACAACCCCCCAGCACAAGCCCCAACCCACTTCCCCGGCACACTCCACCAGCACAACCTCCAGCACAACTTCTCAGCACAATCACCCAGCACAATCACCAGCACAGCCCCTCTGCACAACCCCCTCAGCACACCCCCCATCGCAACCCTCCAGCACACACCCCTCCCCCGTATAACCCCCCAGCACAACCCCCAGCACAACCCCTCGGCACAGACTCCAGCACAGCCCCCAGCATAACTCCTTGGCACAACTCCCCAGCACAACCCCTCAGCACAACCCACCAGCACAAACTCCCAGCACAATCCACCAGCACAGCCACTCAGCACAATCCCCCAACACAACCCCCAGCACAACTTCCGAGCATAACCCCCCAGCACAACCCCCAGCACAACCCCAGCAGAATTTCTTGGCACAACCCCCTGCACAATCCCCCAGCACAGCCCGCCAGCATAATCTTCCAGCACAATCCCCCAGCACAATCTCCACCACAACTCCTTGACACAACCCCCAGCACAACCCTCCAGCACAACTCCCTGGCACAATCCCCTAGCACAATCTCTCAGCACAACGCCTCAGCACAACCCGTTAGCACAACCCCCCCAGCACAACCCCCCAGCACAATCCACCAGCAGGACCCCCAGCACAACCCCCCAGCACAACCCCCTCGGCACACTCCCCCAGCACAACCCCCCAGCACAACACCCCAACATAATCATCCAGCACAACCCCCCAGCACAACCCCCAGCATAACTCCTTGACACAACCCCCAGCACAACCTCCAAGTATAACCCCCTGGCACAATCCCCCAGCACAACCCCTCAGCACAATCCCTCAGCACAACCCCATCAGCACAACCCACTAGAACAACCCCCCAGCAGGCTCCCCCCAGCACAGCCCCCTAGTACAACTCCCCAGCACAGCCACCCAGCACAAACCTTTGGCACAACACCCCGCACAACCCCCGGCACAACCCTCTGGCACAACCCCCTGGCACATCTTCCCAGCAAAACTCCCTGGCACAACCCCCCAGCACAATCCCCCACCACAAACCCCTAGCACAACCCCTCAGCACAACCCCGGGGGGCTTGTGCTGGGGGGTTGTGCTGGGGGGGTTGTACTCGGGGTATATGCTGGGGGACTGTGTTGCGGGGTTGGGCCAGGGGGTTGTGCTGGGGTGCTGTGCTGGGGGTTGTGGTGATGTGTTGTGCTGGGGGGATGTGCCGGGGGGTTGTGCTGGGGGACTGTGCGGAGGGGGGTTGTGCGGAGGGGGGTTGTGCTGGGGGGGTCGTGCTGTACGTGTGTGTGTGTGTGTGCTGACGGGTCACTTAAATTGTTACTCGCGCTCTCGCTGCTTAATGCCGCCTGGCGCTCGCTGGTTTAGTTCCTCGTTTTGTTTGTGGCCCGCGGCCGTGCCACCGTTCTGTTATGCGTCTGTTTTCTGGTGCTCGGGGGCCGCTGTTCTGTTCTCTCGCTATTTTGTTCTAGAACGGCCCGCGCGACTCTGGCTGACGTTCTTTCTCAAACTTCGTTTTTATGGGAAAACGAAGCGTGAACAGGAAACACTGTTCAGGTTGTGCCCTGTCCCACAGGCTCGAGACCTTGGGTTCCTCATCCACTGGTCCCTCAGAGCAGGACCTCACCGTAGATCCCCCCCGCGCTTGCCCCCTCAGTCAGATCGGCAGTTGTGGAGAGCTGTGTATATCTCCCCGCGTCTCCTCCCCCTCCTCCTCCTCCTCCTCGTGCTCCTCGCCGTCCTCCTCTTCGTCCTCCTCCTCCTCTCCGTCCTCCTCCTCCTCCTCCTCCTCCTCCTCCATCCTCCTCCTCCGCGAGGGCCGCCTTCGCCAACCGCGCCGCGGAGCCCGTCGAGGTGCTGTGGCTCCACCCGCAGACTGGCGCGGAGGTGCGTGCCGCCGGCACGATCCCCCCAGGCGGGGAGAGCGAGATCGGCTCGCACCCGGGGCACGTCTTCGTGGCGAGGCATCGGGTGGGATGAAAGTTAGAGTCGGCTGGAGCGTGTTTCTACCTTCCTCCTCCTCCTCCTCTTCCTCCTCCTCCTCCTCCTCCTCCTCCCCCTCCTCCTCCTCCTCGGAAAGTTATTGTCGGAGGTTGATAGACCTCCTACCCTGGCACGTCGATTAGCGAATTGGCCGTCTTCGGTTCGCGAGAGTGCGTCAGGGCCGTCATTTGTGCGGGCCCAGGTCCGTCTGTTTCGTTCCTAGGCCGTTTTCACTCAAGGGTGGTTTACTAAAGGGATGTTTGTCCACCGCCGATATTGCTTGGGACATAATGGGCATTGTAGCCCCCGACCTCCCCTCCCCCCCTCCCCCCTATAACGTAACGCCCCTCCCCCGCCCTGTGCGCTCTGGGCACTGCCGCCGTGCGCATCGGGCACACGGCGGGGGGGAGGCGTTACCCTCCCGGCCCCCTCCCCCCTATAATGCCCATTATCGCCGAAAATGAAATTATAGCCGGAGTGCAGTATCCCCAAACAGGGTTTTTAGACCCATTGCGGTTTCCAAGGTCGATTGCGTGCCCATCCAGTGCGGATTGGTATGGCATGTTAGAACATGATTGCATGATGTTTGCACATGAGATGTTTGCACGACAACTTGTGTGACGCATACCAATCAGGAAGCTAACCCTGGAGGGTGTCGTACTCTTCTCGCACCTGGTCGACGAGTAAGCTGTCGGGTCGGCACTGTGAGAGGCTCCACCTCCATGCAGTGAACTCGGAAGCAACTGTAAGAGGAAGCAGGGGAGGGCGCGGAAGCGGGGGGGCATGTCGTGATGGTTCCCCCGTGGATGATATCGAGAGGTACGCGGCGCACGCCTCAAAAGAAAAATCGTGACGTCGGATGTCTGGGGAGGGCGGAAGGCAGTGCGCGCATGACGGATGCTGAGGCGGCAGAAACGACGACGGTGGGGACGGGGAGGCGGAGGCAGAGGGGCAGCAGCGGGAGGCGGGAGGCGGGAGGAGGGAGGAGGGAAGAAGAGCCAGGCGGGAAGTGGGAAGAGGGAGGCGGAAGAAGGAATGAGAGAGGTTGTGATTGGAGCCCGTGTGCTACGAAACGTCTCAGGCAGAACGGGCCAGACCATCTCGCGCGCAACATCTTCGAGCCTCGCATTGCGAGGATGGCTCAATCGAATCGGGCCAGACCACCTCGCGAACGACACCTTGGAGCTCAGCATTGGAAGGACGTCTCAAACGAAACGGGCCGGACAACCTCTCGCACACGTTCTGACAAGTCCGCGTCACACTCGTTTCCCGTTAGGTCCTCTCCTGCAACTCCCTTCCTTCTCCCTCCTCCTCCTCCTCCTCCTCCTCCTTCTCCTCCTCCCCCTCCTCCTGCCTGCTCCCTCATCCACATCATCCGCCTCCTCCTTCTCCCTTCCATCTCCTTCTCCTTCTCCTTCTCCTCCTCCTCCTCCTCCTCCTCCTCCTCCCCTCCTCCTCCACCTCCTCCTCATCCCGAATGGCATCTTGGAGCCTAGAGTTGCGAGGATGTCTCCAGCGTAACGGGCTGGACCACCTCGCGCGCGGCATCTCGGACCCCAGAGTTGCGACGATGTCTCGGGCGAAACGTGCTGCGAGGAAGTCTCAGGCGAAACGGGCCGGACCACCTCGAGCGCGGCGTCTCAGAGTTCCGAGTTGCGGGGGCCTCCTGGTGCCTCCTGGGGCTTCCTTGGGACCTCCTGGGGCTTCCTCCTGGGCCTCCTGTGGCCTCCTGAACTCCACCTGGGGCTTCCTGAAGCCTCTTGGGGCTCCCAGGGAGGATATCTAACATGTGGAGGTTTGGGCCCCTCAAAATGGAGGGGGGGGGCACAAGAGCAGGAAAAATCAACGAATCGACACCGGATGTGTATTAATTCGACACGTTCTGATAGGGGGCTTCCTGGGAGCCTCCTGGGAATCTCCTGAGGACCCCTGGGGCCTGTCCTGGGCGTCCTGCGGCCTCCTGGAGCTCTCTGGGGCCTCCTGGGGCTCCCAGGGTCACAGGGAGGATATGTAACATGTGGTCTTCTGGGCCCCCAGGCTGGACCACCTCTTGCGCGGCATCTCAGAGCTCAGAGTTGCCAGAATGTCTCGTGCGAAACAGGCCGGACCACCTTGCGCACGGCATCTCATAGCTCAGAGTTGCGAGGATGTCTCAGGCGAGACAGGCCGGACCACCTCGCGCAGGGCATCTCAGAGCTCAGAAGTTCGAGGATGTCTCAGGCGAAACGGGCCAGACCACCTCTCGCGCGGCATCTCCGAGGTCAGAGTTTCGAGGATGTCTCAGGCGAAACGGGCCGGACCACCTCGCGCAAGGCATCTCAGAGCTCAGAGTTTCGAGGATGTCTCAGGCGAAACGGCCCAGACAACCTCTCGCACGGCACCTCGGGGCTCAGAGTTTCGAGGATGTCTCAAGCGAAACGGTCCGGACCACCTTTCGCGCGGCGTCCTGGAGCGTAATTGTTCGAGGATGTCTTAGGCGAAACGGCCGATCCTGGCCAACTCAGAAACGAGAGTTGTGAGGATGTCTCAAGCGAAACGGCCCGGACCATCAGATTTTCGTGAGGATGCCTCTGCTCCCATTTCCCTCGGCCGGAGATAGCTTCTATCGCAACAGCACCCCGTTCAGCAAGCTGTTTGGGGAAAAACGCGCTCCTGGGGGTCTGAGGTGAGTAGACAAGCACTGGTTCCGGCCAGTGGGGAGGTTCGAGGCGCTGGGTTCTGGGAGGTGTGTTGCCCTTATCGGCCCCCAGGGGCCATTTTTGGTTTCTGGGATAAATCAAAAACGGATGCGGGATGAAAAAGTGCACCAGGTGGACCCCGCGACGGCTTAGGAATCGATTTTGAACGGATTTGCCTTCACCCCCCCCTTGTGCCCGATTTTTGAGAGACGGCGTCGACGACAACAACGACAACGATGAGGAGGAGGAGAAGGAGGAGGAGGAGGAAGAGGAGACGGAGGACGCCCTGGCGTGCAAACTCTACGCCCCTACGGGCGCTCGTACACCTGTTCTTGTCCTCTTTGCCACGCCTGTTCAAGCTGCACGCCTCTCGGCCGTTGTGTTTGTCTCATCGCCTAAGTTGGCCATGCTTCGTTTCCCCCACTGGGGCGCAGCAGTCATGCAGCTAGCACTTGCTCAACGCAAAAAACACCGCAGTTGCGGATAAAAGTGAGCGGGCAGCGGGGTCGTCGGCAGTCTGCGGGCTCGATAGCAGATTTAGACCGCCTGTCGCAGGCGCCGAATTCCAGCAGCGTAAATGAGTCGCGGGAAGGGTCGTGAGGGAACGCTAGCAATAACAACATTATCAACAACAGCCGTGTTAAGACATGTCGCATTTGTCTGCTCGCGTGCCAGTTAACACGTATACCCCGAACCGTCGATACCCACCCTCTCTGTCGTTGATCGTACCCCCTCCGGCGGAATATATTTCGTCCCTGCCACGTGTAATTTGTTCATCCCATAAAACAGAAAGAACAGAACTCATGGAAAAGGGAGAGAGCGAGCAGGAAGAGAGTAGGGGAAGTGAGGGATGAGGGAAGGGGGCCAGAAAGAAGGAGAGATGGAGACGAGAAGGCCTGGCAAGAGGTCTTATCAAGACAGGATGGCCAGGACGTCTCAGGCGAGAGCGCGGTTCCTCATTAAATTCCGAGGAAGTCCCCAGTAAGAGTAAATTCGGTTAACTTTGAGGAAGAGTCAGGCGGGAGTGGTTGTTGTTGCTGCTGCTGTTGTTGTTTCTTTTGGTGTTGATATTGTTGTTGCTGTTAGTGTAGTAGTGACAGTAGTAGTAGTTGCTGTTGTGTTGTTGGTGTTCATGTTGGTGTTGTTGAAGTTGGGTCCTGCGTTCTACAGAATAGTTATTGTTGATCCCCCCTCCTGCCCCCCTCGCCAGAAACCATTGCTTTTCAATTGAAGTGCTCCTTCCGGGGCTCGCACCCTTTTCTATAAGGGAAAGGTAGATGTCACCAAATTGTGCCCCTGGCCCCCAGTTTGCAACAGCAGCGGCTCCCGCCTGATATTGTCTCACAAAGTGTTCCGAGATCGCGCTCTCGCGCGGGATTTTTTTTTCATTTGTACAGGAATCGCGCTCTCGCGTGTGACCTCCTCGCAATTTATTCAGACGCCGCGCCCTCGACACTCGGGAGTCAATCTCTCGCTGTGAATTTCCCAGCGATTTATATGGGAATCACGCGATCGCTCGAGACTTCTCGCGATTCGTGCAGGACGCACGCTTCAGCAACCCGCCTGCCCCGTGTCCCTTCCTTCCATCCGTTCAGTCTTCCCCTGCCGTAGGGGCTGCATGAAATACACATTGCAGGTACGAAAGATATACCCCTAAGGGGGCACGATCGAAGAAGAAGAAGATGGCGGGTATCGAGGGTTTGGGATATACATGGTGAATGGCACGCGAGCAGATAAGAGCGAACAGTATTATGATTGGTGTTGTGCTTCTTTTTGCTGTTGCTGCTGCTGTTGCTGATGTTGTTGTTGTTGTTGTTGGTGCTGTTGTTGCTGGTGTTGCTGTTGCTGCTGAGTTCTAACGATTGAAGCATACTGAGTGTTGACGACCCCATCCGGGGCGCATTGCACTTCATCAATTGAAGTACCCTTTCCAAGGGGTCGCACCTGTATTTTTTCAGGGAAAGTCTTAGGTCTCAGAATTGGGCTCTGGCCCCCGAGTTACAACAACAACAACAACGGCTCCCACCGGATACTTCCTCACAACGTATTTCCAAATCGTGCTCTCACGCGGGACGTCCTCACAATTTAAACAGGAATCGCGCTCTCGCGTGGGACTCCCTCAGACGCCGCGCCCTCGACACTTCTCGCCTATCGCACGATTCACTTGGGAATCGCGCTTTCGCTCGAGACTCGCGATTCATGCAGGACGCACGCTTCAGCAACCCCCCTGCTCGACCTGGCCGCTTTGGCCCGCCTTCCCGACCCGCCTGTTGAGGTCTACCCGCCCGATCTGCCCGTCTGCT